TCTCATCCAGAAGTAGAAAAAGCTTACACAGGGTGGAAATTAAAACATAAACTCCACTAAAACTGGGAGCTGTTCAGCTCCCAGCTTCCATAGTGGTGGAAAGAGTCTACAAATTAAGTGCAGTTTTGCTATAAGTAGTAAAGAATTATTTCATTTCTTCACTGGTTCTTGAATTCAGTATTGCAATTTGTAATTCGGTATTGCAATTAGTTTGTAATGCAGTATTGCAATTAATTCGTAATTCGGTATTGCAATTTGCAACTGGGTATTGCTTTGCCCAGCAATGACACCACTGGCCCAGGGCAGCTGGAAGGCACACACCCGCTCATGCTGACCCCTTGGAGACTGTCCCATGCAGAGCCACAACTCCATGCTGCAAAACTACGCCACTACGCAGCAGCCCATGGCTTCCTCCATCAGCATCGATCCCCACGCTGTACAGCTCCTCATACACACGGGTACAAGTAAGAAGGGCCTGGGTGGGATTTTAAGCAAATAATGTGTTGTTTACTTGCTTGCTGGCAAAAAGAAAAAAATGAAAGGCACACTGAGTAAAAGAGGCTTTACCCAGGATCTACCAGTCCATGATAACCCTTTTCCCTCACTGCATCTCTGCTGCAGGGGACCTGGTGGAAGGAGCCACCACAGACACCCAGAGCCAGTGCCCTGGGAGCACCCCCATGCCCTGGGGTATCTCCTTCCCAGCACCTCAGGAAGCACAGAACCCCTACTCACATTACAGCAGCTGACAGCCATGATTTAGCAAAGCCCCATCATTGGGGTCATTAGCCAGCTTTTCCACTCCGCTGCTGAGTCACCTAGGGGCGGAGGTGGTCCTTGGGGTGCCTGGAAATAGGAGGGTGGGAACAGCCCTCCACATCTGCTTTCCCCCTCACCCCAGCATGCTGCAGCTCCCCGTGCAAATGGCCTGTCATTTGCTCCCTGCTCGCTCCAGTCCAACCCCGAATCACAGCACCCGGCTCCCCCAAGAAAGAAAACCAGCGACACTTCAAACCGCACCACTGTGGAGTTTGATGGGTTTAATGGTAATTAAACAAATCAACAGGGTACGTTTCAGCCTTGAAATAGAAGTGCAAAAAGGATACAATAGAATGTTTTCTGTACATTTCTTACAAAATATTACATACACCCCATCCTGAAATGGTACTTCACACACCGGTGAGCCCACGCACCGCTGTAGCTGTAGCTTTTCGTCCTTATGTGCAGGACATGGAGCTAACGGAAAGCTCCTGTTGGAGTCTGGGCAGATTCTTTTAGGGCAGTGGTAGGTAAATACAAGGGGTGAACGCAGGGACCTTTCTGCCCAGCGTGCCCAAGCATAGCCCCTGGAGTGCTGAGCCACCGCTGTGCCCTTGTGGCAAGTGGGCAGCATCACCCTGGTGGCACTCACAGCTCTCGGCTGCTCTCTGGTTTGGTATAGGAAATGGCGGAAATGGCTTTTCTTGCTGAGGTTTGCCATTTTCCCTGTGTCTGGCGTCGCCTCCCGCTTCACGTCCCGTGTAGTGTGCCCAGGTCAAGCCCTGGTGAACCCGCCTCCATTTTATCCACAGCATCTTCTCAGGAAGAAGACAACCAGGCTATATAGCAAATAAATTAAACCCCTCCTCCCCCCATATGTCCCCAGCACTGATGAGGCTGTGGGGCACGCGTCAGTACCCGTCCTGGCAGTCGTTGTCATCGTAGTCAGCCGCAGGCTTGTTGCGGTAGGCA